ACATCACAAAAATGAAACAATATACATTTTAAACAGACAAGAAATGACTCATTACTGATGTGGTAGTTATTCTTGATTTAGCTGTCTAGGTACAATCAGGCCACTTACTTCAAGAAAATCAAAATGGTACAGAACTAGAAGCATGAAAATGAATGTATGATGTGCAATTAAAACAATTGCATTACTAAATAGACAACTTATTGATGATGACAATAGGATAGGGATGAAATAAAAAAACAGAAAAACATATAATTTCACTCTTCAGTTTTACTGATATATATATATCAAGGTATAAAATACAGTGGAGAGAATGTTGGACTTAGAGTCAGGAAGACCTGAGTTCTACTGCTGCCTCAGACACTTATTGGCTGTATGACCCCAGGCAAGTTACTTAACCTATCTGTGCTTCAGTTTCCTACTTCACGGGACTGTTGTGAGGATCAAATGTTTTAACATATGCAAGGCATTTTGCAAATCCTGAAGCACTAGACAAATGCTAGCTATTATTACTAGTACCACCAAAAGAAATTAAAAAGCACCTCATTCAGCAAATGCTTGATTGAACTGCCAAGTGGAGAGATACAGCAGCCAATAACAACAGAAAAAATAACAAAGAACAGTGAGGAGGATGACAGAAGATTAAGGGCTGTATCATCTCATTAAAGGAAAGAAGCTGTAGCAAAATTAGCTCAAAGAAACCTTGACAAAAGATTCAATTAAGCAAAATCATCCTGAGGACATTAAGGATGACAATGTAGGGAAGGCAACAAATAGAGGAAGAAATGGACATATTTACAAAAAAATTTTATAACCAAGGTTTTTTATCAATAAGGACAGCAGAACTCCCATGCTTTAACCCTTAACATCATGGATGCATTTACAGAAGAGGTAGAAAGAGCCCTAAAGAGAACATTGTCAAAGCAGCCAGGTTAGACCAAGAATGCATAGAAGAGACCTATGCTGGGTACAACACAGTTGTAAGAGCACAAAGGACTTGATATAAGACAAAAGTATCAAACTCTATAAAAATATGATGACCATATACTACGCATGCCATCAATGGCATCCTCAGGAAGGATATTGGTGAGAAACAGACAGGCTTTCACATGGGATATTCCCCAATGGATGATCTCTCTACCACTACATGACTGACTGAAAGAGCTAAAAAGCACAAGAGCGCACTGTGTTTATTGTTTATTGATTATTTAAAACAAAACAACACAATTTTATGCAGGAAGGCAAAACACTGCTTTACGGGCTCTCCACCAACAAAGCCACAGCTGTGGCATAATCAATAGACAGCTGGGCTTGAGGCTAGTAAGATCTGGGTTCTGGTTCCACTTCCAACACTGACTGGTAATGTCAATGAAATCAAAGGTCTAATCCCTATCGCATACCTAAAAAGGCATAACAACAGAGATAACCTTGATTAATGACTACTAATACCAAATGAGGCATAAAATATGGAGATTTGTGCTTGCCAAAGATGTTCACCTCTGTTCTAGAGAAGAGGTCCAGCGCCAAGTCCAAGCTGAAGAGTGATTCTCTTATAGACAGTTAGGTCCTCCATATGTTCTTGTGTGGAAATGACATTGTGCTGGTTACATTAAGTTCTGGAATACTGCAGAGCCTCCTGGAAGAGATCCATAACCACTCAAGAGAGTTTGGCCTAATCATCTAAACAGGAAAAACCCAATGAATGAAAAGTGCTTCCGTATAGACATATTAACTATGGAATTAATCAATCAACAAATAGGTATTATGTACTAGACAATGATGTGTGATGTTCAATTGTTTTCAGTCGTGTTGGACTCTTCATAGCAATGGTATACAAAAATGAAAATGAAACAAACCTTGCCCTCAAAGAGCTTACATTCTATCAGGGGAACAAAATACATACAACAAAATAAATACAAGACAATTTTTGAGGAGAGGGCACTAGTTATTGGGGGATCTTGAAAGGCTTAATGTATAAGACAGCAGTCAAGTTGAGTTTTGAAGTAAACAAGGGACTCCTAAAAAGGTGGAGGTGAAAACGGAGTCATTCCTAGCATGGAGGACAACTACTGCAAAGTCACAGAGACTGAAGACCGAGTATTGTGTGTGAGGAACAGCAAAACGGCAGGTCTGGCTTGACCAAAGAGTGTGGGTAGGGCACTTTAAAGAGTAAACAGAAGAGTTAATATGTGATCCTAAAGGCAATAGGAAGCCACTGGAGTTAACTGAATGGAGGAGTGAATTAGTCAAACTTGCACTTTTAATAATATTATATTAGTAGCTCTATGGATTACATAAGATTTGTTAGAAAATGGAAACACTTGGGCCAAGGGTAATTAAGAGGCTACTGCAATTATCCAGACAAGGATAGTAGTCATATGAGTAAAGAGAAGGGAAAAGATGTGAGAAATGTTATGGAGATAGAAATTACAAGACCTGGCAACTGACTGGATATGTGAGATGACAGTAAGGAGTCAAGGATAGATAATGCTGGAGTTATAAACAATCTGCAAATGGATTGGAAGGACAGTGGTACTCTAGATTTAAATAAGGAAGTATGAAAGCAGATTAAGGTGAAAGATAATTAGTTCTATTTCAGACATGTTGAGTTTGAAATGCCAATATATAAGATAGCCAGTATGCATGCTGACGATGCCTGTCTGAAGTTCAGATGGAAGACAAGGGGGGAACATATATGTGTATGCATGTGTATATACGCACACACACACATATGTGTATATATACATATATGTATATATATGTACACACATACATACACATATGTGTATGAAGAGAGATATGTTTACACACTAGACAGACAGATAGATAGATAGATAGATAGATAGTTAGATAACAGTTACAGAGCATGATAAGGATCATGAACCAGTAAAAGAAACTAAAAAAGATCAAATAGATAGAACCACTCGAAAGCACTGTCATGAAAGCCCAGAGATAAGAGGGTGGCCAACAGTGATAAGTGTTAAAAAGAGGTCAAGAAGGTCAGGACTGAGAAATGACCATTGTATTTGGTAGGCAATTCAGAAATAAGTGGCAACTGGTGGGGGAGTAGTTTGAGTTGAGAGATGAAGTCAGAAGCAATACCATAAGGCTATAAATTGCCTACCTCTGTGTGTGCATATATGTATATATAGACACATATGTATATACACGATATGTGTATATACACACATATATGGAATATCCATTTATATATGGGTATATACACATATGGAATATCCATGTGGGGGGGATAGTCAGAACACATGAACAATGAGTTGTGCCCAAAACAGGAGGAGGAGGAGGAGTGTGTGTTGGGTTGCTTTGGGAAAGGACAAAACTCCATTAATGATCCCAAACTCCACCTAGAATGAAAGGTCATATTTAATAGCAATAAAAAAAAATTCTACCAGTGTTGCAGTATGGAACACTAAAGTCTCTGAACGATTAAAAATGAGTATCACTTAAGAGGGTAATGGAGGGTATAAATAGGCTACAATACAAAACAAACACAGAACTATGATGTCATCAGAGAAATGCACGATTGAAAAACATAGGCTAGTCATGGCAAGAGCAAGAGATGAGCACTGGACAGCCTGCCCATGTGCTCCGCTAACTGCCTCAAAATGTCGTGAAAAATCAAGGAGTGCTACCAGTACACTAGTTGTACTCCCTGTAGGGAACTTGTGGGAGGACGCAAACAAGAATCACACACAATAACTAGGCATGAGTGGGTTGTGACCAGCATTACTTGGATACAGCCATATGGATGAAATCACAGATCCATTGAGGAATCTGACTAAGAGACAAAAGTTGATATCTGTACAGCCAAATACAGATGCAAAACATAGAAATGAAGAGAAACAGTGTGGCGTAGTAGAAGGAACGTAAGAATAGGACAGGAACTGATTTTAGTCCTTAACCTTTCAGGCAGCTAAATGACTTTAAACAAATCACTTATCTGAGTCTCAATTGTTTATTTAAATTGGACAGTTGCATGAAATTCTCTCTACAACATCCATTTCAACTCCAAAATGTCACAATTCTCTGATTCGAATTATACAAGTTGATATCCTAATTCTCCATTAATAGCTGAGCTCAAAGTTCTCTAGCATAATAAAGTAGAAAGACTTCCTGTGAAGGAAATAAAAAGTAAATAATGGAGAAAATCCTATCTTCATACAAGGATACAAAAGATAATACCAATATCTGTAGAGTTCTTTTCTGATTGTAGGCTGCATACTAAAAGTTCATTAATAAAAGTTATTTCAACTACCCTCTTTCTCCTTGCTGAAGTGAACCAGCAATTCCTGTTCCAGATGACTGACACGAGGTGACAGCCAGGTTTGTGCTATTGTTTATCCCTAGCAACTGTCTCTTTGTACTTACATTTTACATATGCAGTTGGGCATCCCTATGGTGCAGCTGGAACAAGACTAGCATCCACGTGGGACCAAGAACCAGAATGATGGATTTTCAACCCCTTTGGGTGCTTCACTTGTAATATGTGTAAATATTCAAAACATAAAATACACTCGGGAAAATATTCAAAAGTATAATCCAAGACCTTAAAAAATCAATTTGGAATATACCATATTGAAAATGTTTAACATAAAAATAATAATTACACAATTCCCTTGGTCCTGAAACCAAATCGTCAATCTTGGCAAAATGTCAGAGATTTGAGAACTTTGTATATTAAAGACATGTACACAAAAGGGTAAAGGAAATACAAATTTGATCTTAGCTGTTCATCCTTAAGACAGAGACATCTGCCATTTGAATTTCACTAGCTTCAAAGAGTTTACACAACTTAGTTTTCACGGTGTTTTATAAATCCTAAATGAAAACCACAAATAATGATTATCATATAATCATAAGTTCTAAACGTCATTCTGACACTAAAATAATATTTAAAAATCACTTTGGGCAACAATTTCCATTTGTTACATTTACAAAACGAGATCTTGCTCTACTTCCAATGTCGTTCTTATTCACGCTCTCACCTCTCTCCTTAGTTTTTCCTTCCTCAGTTCTATCTGTTTTTGCCGCTCTTTCTGTCGAGGTGAAAGACAGTATGTTGAGTTTATTGGTGATATTTCTGCGGACTGTACTCCGCGGTTAGATTTTCCACTCCCTTTGCTTCTTCGTGTGTTAACTGCTGAGCTTGGACGGTATTTGGGATTGGGTGGAGGCTGGGGAAAATAAACCAGCGGTTCACTTGTGGATGTGTGAGTGATAACATGTGGCTTTCCTAGGAGGTCTTCCTTTTTAATCCCAATAATCCCATTGGTAGCTGAGTTGGAAGATCGAGGTGGTAACTGCTGACTTTCGATCTCAGTAACGTTAACATTAATGGGGGGCAAAAAGCCTTGGCTCTCAATGTCTTGTAAACTCAGAAGCTCAAACTTCCCATCTCTCTCCACTAGTATCTTTCCATCCTTATATTCCTCACTACTGCCATTAGTCGGCGAAAGGAGCACACTCTCTGGTCTACGCTCACCAGAAATACATAGCTGTGACAGTTTCCCAGACACATCTCTCTCATTTTCATTATCATTTCTGTAACTTTCCGTATTTTCCAGCGGGGGCACTTCCAGATCTACTAACTTGTCCTTGAATTTAAGTTTTCTTTCTCTCTTTTCGTTGACAGGCTCTTGAGTCTCCAGAATCTTGTTAGCCGTTACAATCTTTTCCATGATGTATCGCTTTACTTCCTCATCCTCATCATCATCATCAAGATCCTTTTGGCTTTCCATCTTGCTCTCCTGGAATGAGTTTTCACTATCTGAATCAGATACAGGATCCAAAGGTTGAATGCTAGGTACAGAGATGAAGTTATTTTGCCTCGGTGACATCTCATCCTTTGACACTTTGTCATGGTCAGGAAGCTGTTTTGTATCCTCTTCTCCTTTATCGTCCTCTTTGAGTTCTTGGTTGGCAACTTCTTCCTTTTCACTAGACATCTAAAAAGAAATCAGGTTCTCCTTCAGTCAGATGATTCAGAATTGAGGTTCCCCAAATCAAATGCAAATTTATTCACTTGTATAATTCAACCCAGCAAGAAATTTCTAGTTATACAACTTACTTTCTCCAGGAGAAAGTGTTACTTATTGACAATTTGATATGATACTCTATGGTGTATAATTACATAACAAAATATCTTGCAATAAATAATATATATATGAAAAACCCTTTGAAAATGTTTACTGAATTTTACTGTGGTATTATAAAAGGTTTCACTTAAATGATGCATTAATATGCTTTTATATATATAATATATGTGTATATATATATATATTTGTTCTGCTACATAAAGGGGTTAACTACATAATTGTCATTTTTACTTGGGAATTTCCTATTTGTATATTTCTCTCCATTTACAGGTTAAAAAAGAGATTAAAAAATGTTTCCTCCACATGATTCTCCCCTTCAAAATAAAAAAGAAACCTTAAAAAATAATTAATATGTAACCTCCATGAAAACAAGACCTTTTAATTTTTTTCCCTTTTGTCCCTAAGACCTGAGACAGTATAGGGCATATAGTAGATGCTTAATGTGAGTTGATTTTAATTGAAACCTATGGAGGCAAAGCAAATGACTGTGTTCACTCAGGACAACTGAGTCATCAGGTATTTGATGACTTTTATAGTCATCTTCTCCCTGAGTATTTGAAGCTCACGTTGAGTACATGTTCCCTAATTCCATCATCTTCAAACAATCAATGCTGTTCTCTATTGCCCCTCTCCCCCGAATCCATTCCCCTTCTAGACAACTTCCATACATGGCTCCTATCTTTCTTCTCCACTTTTTTTTTTTTTAGTTTTGGGGGTTTTTTTTAGGCAGTTGGGGTTAAGTGACTTGGCCAGGGTCACACAGCTAGTACGTGTCAAGTGTCTGGTCTGAGGCCGGATTTGAACTCGGGTCCTCCTGACGTCAGGGCCGGCGCTCTCTCCACTGCGCCCCCTCGCGGCCCCTTCTTCTCCACTCTTCTATGCTGATTATGCATCAGGCTCCTTAGTCTCAAAAGCTCTTCCCTCTTCTAGACTCTGTGTAAAATTCACCTTCTACATGAAACCCCCGACTTAACCTCATGATCACAGAGCGCTTCTTGTCTCCAACCACATCTTCTTATGTGTCATTTTTTCTAGCACCGCCCCTCAGTACTTACCAAAGGTGTCCTCTGTCCACAAGGGGACCATTTCAGTATTTAACTTTGCCTTCCCTCCCCTTCACACACAACATTATTTTTATCCTATACACTTTTAGCACCCTAGACAACACAATCAACTACCTCAAATTGCCTTCACTCTAGATTTCCCTTATTTTCCAAAATGTCATCCCTGCTTGTCCCCAACACTCTACCTCCCCCTACAATCTGCTTTCTTAACTCCTACAACTTGGCTACACAGATCTTCCAAAGAAAAGATCATAATTAAATAAACCAGGAACTATACAGTTTATACCACCCCATTAATATCTAGTTATTTGTCCTTCACTATCATTTCTCTAGAAGTTATTTCAGACCTTCTCCTACAGCCCCTATTCCCATCAATTAAATCTAATGACCTCACCTTATTTCACTAAGACCAAGAGTATTTAGCATGAAGTCCACTTCCCTCTTCATCTCCAAGCTTCTTCCCCACTGGTCTCACAGGAAACAGTGTTCTCTGAAGCTTAACCCCCTTCACCTCTGCTTGGATATCATCCCTCTTCACATCCCAAAACATCTTGCTTCGATCCTGATGTTCTGCTTTGCTAACATCTTCAGTCTTTCTTTCCACTAGCTTTTCCTTTTGTAATCACTATATAGACTGTTCTCCTGGTTCCACTTTTCACTCTGCATCATTATTAGTTCATTCAAGTATTCCCATTTTTCTCAACTCCTAATATAATTTCTTACATCACAGTGATATTTCATTGCATTCATATGGCAGAATTTATTCAGCTATTCTCAATCAATGGGTGCCAAATTTGTGGCCAGTTTTTTGCTACCACAATGTTCTTATTTAAATATACGTGTATATATATATATATATATATATATACACACACACATATATATACATATACATACATCTATATCTATATATCTATATTCTTTACTTCTGTCTTTAATTCTTCCCCCCTCCCTCAAGAGTATATTTCCAGTAATGAGATTGCTTGAGTCAACAGATATAAGCAATTTAGTAACTTTTCTCAGATCATTCCACATTATTTCCCAGAATTGGGCCAATTGACAGTTCCACCAATGGTGTATTAATGTACCTGTCCTGACAAAGCTTTGACAGCTTTGACAATTTCCAGTTTATCATCTTTATAAATTTGCTGTGTGTAAGATGAGAAACTGGAATCGTTTTAATTTACATTTCTTTTATTACTAGTGATGTGGAATAATCTTTCAAATGTAATCTTTTATAATTTTTCATCAAATTCTTTTGAAAACCACCTTTTTTGATAACTATTAGGGAATGAGTATTGGTTTTATATATTTCATTATTATACACTGGAGGTGAGACTTGTATTTGAGGTATTTTCCCTAATTAATCATTTTTATTCCTCTATTTATTCCCCTAATTAACAATCTCCCTTCTTATCACAGCTACATTGATTTTGTTCATGTAAAAGCTTTAAAATTTTATGTTGTTGAAATGTCTGTTTTCTCCTTTATGATCACATCTGTCCTTTATTTGGCTAAGAATTCTCCTCCTGGCCATAGTTGTAAAAGGTACCTCCCTCCTCCACCCTAGTCTAAATTTTTAAAGAGGTGACCTTTTATGGTTGGGTCACCTGTTCATTTGGAACTTTATTGTAGCATATAGTGGAATTTGTGGTCCAAATCTATTTTCTACTAAACGGCCTTCCGATTTTCTGAGTGGTTCCTGTCAAAATAGAGAATCCATCTCCCAACAGATTATTGTTGGTTTAACTGAACATTAAAGCTACTGTTTCTGATTCTTACTTATCCAAACTGTTGCACTGATCTACTTTTCTATGTTTGAACCAAATGTTGTTGGGTTTTTTTGGTACTTACTGCTTTATCATACAGTTTCATATCTGGAAATGTTATCCCTTCTTTATTCCTATTTTTTCCAGTATTTCCTTTAACATTCTAGATTTTTTTCTTCCAAATGATTTTTGTTATTATTTTGTATAGTGGGACAAAGCAACTCCTTAGTAGTTTGACTGGTATAGGCTCTTTGTGGCCCTTTTCTCTTTTCTGTATCACTCTCTCTCTTTGTGATGTCATCTATTCCCATGGATTTAATAATCATCTCTATGAATATGGCTCCCAAATCCACACTAACTAGCCCTAAGCTCTCTCCTGAGTTCCAATACCGCATAACCAACTGCCTACTGGACATTTTGAACTGGATGTCCCATTGGCATCTCAATTTCAACACGTCCAAAACAATTCTTAATCTTCCCCTCAAAAACACGTCTTTGTCTAAACATCCACATTTTCATTATGGGTACTACCATCCTTGAAGTCACTCAGGTTCACAACCTAGGAGTCACCTTTAACTCCTCACACACACTCCTATATCCACCACTCAGCTGGCAAGGCTTGATTCTACCTCCCCAACCTCTTAAGCATCTCTGCCTTTCTCTCTATTTCTACACACATGCTCCTAATTCAGGCTCTCATCACTCTTGCGTGAAGTACATGAAAAACCTGGAGAACCGATCTCCCTGTCTCAAGTGACCACAGCATGGTCTACCCAGCTACCAGAGTGATTTTCAAAAAGCATAGGTGTGACCGTGTTTCTTTCTCCTTTGCTCTATTAACTTCAATGGCCCCTAGTCTCTCGAGAATCACAACAAATTCCTGTTTGGCATATAAAGCTCTTTACAGCCTGCCCCAACCTACCTTTTCAGCACTGTTACACATACTCCCTTTCCTATACACTGCAGTCCAGTCAAACTGGTGTTCTCACTGTCCCTCACACACAATACCATCCCCCAGCTTTCTGCCTTTGCTTGGTTGTCTCCCATGCCTGGAATGCATTCCCCACCTCTCCTCTGCCTAGTTTGCTCCAATGTTCAGCTCGAGTACTGCCTCCTGGAAGAAGGCTGTCCTGATTACTTTGTTTTTATTCTATACATATTTTGTATATGTTTATATACGTCCACGTTGTTGCCCCAGACAGAATGTCAGCTCCTGTGTTTGTCTTTGCATCCCCACACCCAGTACATTTCTAGGCACTCACTAAATAAATGCTTGTTGACTGACTGACTGTCATAAGCCACAGAAGTTTCTTATTTTGAGAGGGAGTGTGGTATAGCAGGAAGAAGAATGGCCCTGGATTCCACAGCGACCTGGGTGGGAATCTTGTACCATGTTCCCCGCTTGTTAGTGATACGGCCACAGCCATGTAACTTAATCTCTTTAAACCTTAGTTCCCTCATCTGTAAAATGGAGTTAATAAGGCCCCTAATGGTTATCTTATGGGGGCATATTGTGGGGATGAGAGCATATACTTAAATAAAACTTACGGCTATTATCGTCATTCCTTTTTAAAATCTCACCTGATCCATCTGACCTCTCTAACCACCATTCTTTTAATGATTTTCCTCTCATGGCCACATCCCAAAGACAAAGAGCTGTCAAGTCACACCTTCATAGCTACCTTCACAACACCCCTCCTACAAATCTCCTTCTCTCTTCTCACACAGTGAGTTCCTCAGCCTAGCACAGGCTCTCCCCACATAACTCCTAAACCACTGGAGCAGCCTTCAGCATCTCCCCACTCCAGCTTATCCTCCACTTGGCTGCCAAGTGATCTTCCAAGAGTCTGATCACATCATCTCCTTCCTCATTAAATCCCAGTAGCTCCCTGCTACTTTCAGGATCAAATATAAAATCCTATCATTGGTTTTAAAGCCCTTCACAACCTGGCCCATTCCTACCTTTCCAGTCTTCTTATACTTGACTCACCTCCATATACTCTAAGATCCAGCTACACAGATTCTTCTCCCCAGAGAGCAAAACATTTTAAGAATTTACAGTGCCAAGTTCGAAAAACTGCAGTTTCCTTGCTCTACCTTATACATGACACTCTCATCTCCAGATTCGACACCTTTTATTAGCTCTCTCCCTAAGCCAAGAATGCTCTCCCTTTTTCTCAAACGCCTGACTTCCCTGGCCTCTCACTCTTCCACAGGCCTTTCCCAGTCCCTCTTCTCCATCCCCCCTCCCCCAACTGGTGAGATTACTTACCATTACACTGTATATATCCTGAATGCACAATCTTTGCATACATTGTGTACTTCTTATATCTACTTTGTTATTCATATGTTGCGTTCCCCACTAGAATGTGAACTTCTTGACTTCGGAACTGTGTTTTTGTGTCTCTTTTTATCCCAAACACTCAGCACACGCCTGGCATACGGTACTTAACATGCGTTCTGATTAATTGGCAGGTACTTTATACCTGTCCCCTTCTATTCTTCTCTCCCAACTTCTCCATAACCCTCCCACCTCTTCACCCAAATCAAGTTTGTCATCACCAATCCCTTACAACTGTTCTCCAAGGTTCCCAGTTCATTCCTTCTATTCAATCCATGGATTTTCCTCAGCTCACACCTTCTCTCTAAAATATCTTTCTTTGTTTATAAATTATATATATGTGTGTGTGTGTGTGTGTATATATTAATACCAGGTTTTTTTTTGTTGCACTTAACCACTCACCTTTACAATAACAACTCATTTTAAGGTTTACAAAGAATTTCTCCCACAACCACCCTGTGAGATAGGTAATCCAAGCATTTTCATCCCCCATTTTTCAAATGAAATAACTGAGACTCAAGAGAAGATAAGTTTCTTGCCAGGAATATAAGCTTAGAATCACACACAGATATTCTGGCTCCAAACCCAATGCTTATGCCATTATACCAAGTCAAGTCAACAAGCATTTATTAAGCATCTACTCTCTGCCAGGCCTTGCATGCAGTCTTCTCATGTGGTTTCTTTTTTTAGAAGGACATCATTTCATGATCTAACCTAAGTTACATCCAAATCCATGCTGTACACAAAGATCCACTGTATTTATACTTCTCTTTTTGACACACTTAGTTATGTTTCAATTCAGTAACTCATTCAAAAACCATTTCTTCTTCAATGTATACAAAACATTGTGCTCAGTGATGAGAGAAAGAAAATTAAGAAATAGTATAAATATAGTGGTACATTTAAAAAAAAAAGGTTGTTGTTTATAGTAAATACCTCAATCATGCCGATGTGGTTTTTTTCTTCTTCATTAATTAACCACTCAAGGTCCTTTTCAAAGTCATCTTCATATTCTCCACTTTCCCTCAAATCAGCATCTGTCCTTTCATTCATTTTCTCCTTGTTAAAGAATAGTGCTGTCAGGCAGAAAAGAAAAGACATGGCAATATGTCCTCATAGGAAAAGGAATCCTGCAAAAAATCTACAATTTCCAAAGGAGGTAACACTGAACATAAAGTATATTGATTTCACTAAAAAACAAAACAAAAAAAAACTAGTTAAGGTTTGTAAATCAAAGGATATCTAAGTGATGAAAGAACTTCCTGAACCCTATTCAGAATTCCTTCCGAGAAACACACAGATACACGGACCTATAATTATCATGCCAAGAAATGTGAAAGCAAATACAAGCATATCTTGTTTTATTGTGCTTCATAGATATTGAGTTTTTTACAAATTGAAGGTTTGTGGCAAGTCTGTGGCAAGCAAGTCCTTTGGTGCCATTTTCCAATATAATGTGCTCACATTGTGTACTCTATGTCACATTTTGGTAATTCTCACAATATTTCAAACTTTTTCACTATTATTATATCTATTATGGTGATCTGTGATCAGTGATCTTTGATGTTATTATTGTAAGTGTTTCGGGGTGCCACAAACCACAACCATATATGATGGCAAACTTTTGTTGTTGTTGTTGTTTATATATGGTCTCTCTTATTGGACTGGGAGGTTCTTAAAATCAAGGACTTTTGAAATGTTTCTCTGTCTCCAGTGCTTCACATATACCCTGGTACATAGTAAGAGCCTAATGAATGCTTCTTGTCTGACTTGACAGCATCTGGTAAATTACTGGATGTTATATTATCTTTCAGATCTACTTTTTCTCTATGCCTACTGCCATGATTCTAACATAATCCCTGAATTGACACCTGGATGGACTACTTTCAAATAACCTCACATTATTAGAGAATCTGAGAATTGGAAAGCCATCTGATGTTAATCCACATTGGGACAAGAATCCCTTGTACATCTTATGTAACAGCCAGCTAGTATGACAGCAAATTTAATCAATAAATATTGTGTGTGTTCTGACTGCTCAACCAACCAGCCATTTCCTTCTCTCTCCCTCTCCTCAGGCCTCTCTATTTCCTGATACACAATCATATTGAATTTAGGCCAGTTAATAAGTATACAATGATCTCTAAGCACTCAAATGAGAGGAAGAGTAGATTAATGTGGCAAACTTCATTGTTGTCTTATTTTAAGAAATTGCCACGGCCACCTTCAGCAACCCTGATCAATCAACACTGAGACAAAACCCTCTACCATGAAAAAGATTATAACTCACTGAAGGCTCAAATGACAGCATTTTTTTTTTTTTGCAATAAGGTATTTTTTAATTAAGTAGGTACACTGGGTTTTTTTTTTTAGACATTATTGCACACTTAATAGGCTACAGTATAGTGTAAGCATAACTTGTATATGCACTGGGAAACCAAAACATGTGTGTGACAAAAGTATCACTTTATTGCAATGGTCTGGAACTGAACCCACAATATCTCCAAGGTATTCCTGTGTCAGAAAACGCTATCAGAAAAAGCCCTGATATTTTGGAGGTGGAATTCTCGTTCCTTTTTCCCTATCCCTCCTCCCTCCTCTAATTTCGGAATTCATGAAGTTAGACAGAAGCAATTTCCTTTTTGAGTTCCATTCACTGATAAGAGGATAGAGGATTGGAGAGAAACCAACAATGGGGAAATCCCAAGAACCCCTTCCTCTTGCAAAGGGTCTCTTATAGCAAAGAAAGAGATCCTGGATCCTGCAATCATGGTAACAGAACTGCTTTGGCAGGTTGTTTCCCTGTCAAACACATCCAGTTGCTAAGGGTTCTGGCTAGTGAGATTCCCGGTTTCCTTAAACACACAACTGACTCATTCTTTCCTCTCAACAAAGACAATTTATTATACAATAGAAAAGAATTGCATTATCTCAGAGTTGTGAAAGAGCTCAGAAAGTCCACTTCTGGGAACTCAGACACATAAAACCGTCCTCTATACAATGTATCCAACAAGCACACACACGTCTTTCATCTGAAGCCATCTAATAAATAGAACCCACTCCCTTCCCAGACAGTCATTTCTGCTTCTAGATAACTTTAATTAATGGGAAGTTTTTCTTCACCTCTGAGAAAAATCAAATGTTCATTTTCTATTTGATTTCTTTCTATATCTGATTCTATTCTATAACTGCCTCAATCAAGTTTCTTTGTCTCTGAGTTAGGTTCAGAAGTTCATGAGTCCAGAAGTTGTTTTCTGCCTTGAGTTAAGTTTAAAAGCTAAGTTTTCTTATAAATCACTGTTTTTGATAATTTATTTATTTTTAGTTTTCAACATTCACTTCCATAAGATTCTGAGTTTTAAATTTTCTCCCCCTCCCCATTCTTCCCCCCACCCCCAAGATGGCATGCAATCTGATATACTTATACACACATATTAAGCATATTTTCCCATTAATTATGATGTGAAGAACAATTAGAACTAATGGGAGGAACCACAAGAATGAAGCAATAAAACAAAGCAACAAAGGAAAAGGCAAGCAAATAGTATGCTTTGATCTGCATTCAGACCCCACAGTCCTTTCTCTGGATGTGGATAGCAATTCCCACAGTGAGTCTTTTGGAGCTGGCTTAGATTCATGCACTGCTGTGAAGAGCCAAGTCTATCAAAGTTAGTCATAGCACATTGTGGCTGTTACTGTGTACAATGTTCTCCTGGTTCTTGCTCATTTCACTCTGCATCAGTTCATGTAAGTCTTTCCAAATTTTTTTTAAGTCTGCCTGCTCATCATTTCTTATAGAACAATGGTATCCCATTACATTCATATATCACAACTTGTTCAGCTATTCCCCAAATGATGGGCATCCCCTCAATTTCCAATTCTTTGCTACCACAAAAAGAACTACTATAAATATTTTTGTACATGGAGGTCTTTTCCCCGTTTTTATGATCTCTTTGGGATATAGCCCTAGAAGTGCTATTGCTGGGTCAAAGGGTATGCACAATAAATCACTTTAATGGAAAGAAAATTATTATCTCTGTGCCATTAGCTGCCTTTGTACAATTAGGAATAAAATTTATTATCCTTGAAAGGTGCAGGTGTATTCTAGAGTCTGGTTTGTTATCCCTGCAACACTGGTTGTGTTTCAAGAAAGGTCGGTCTGGCATCACTGCGACACTAATGCGGATGGACATCACCAATGAACTTTCCCTAGCAACAAGATGGAAGGAGGGGCTGTTGCTAGCCCTAAATTCCAGATTTCCATCCAATCATATTGTTTTTCATCATCTACGACACTTCTGACTTTGTAACTAATCGTACTGTTTTCCATCGTCTATGATGCTCCAGACTTTGTAACCAATCACATTGTTTTCCACCTGTGATGCTTCCTGTTCTTTGTCCCCTAGTACTTCCCCAAACTAGATGAAGGCTCCCAAACTCTACCTCGTGGTCCATTTTATTGGTAATTGCTAGCCTTACCAATAAACTGAACATACTTGGGACCTTGTGCTTCAGTTTACCTTAATTTCAATTGCAACACCTCAAATCGTAATTTGCTTCTTTCCATCTTCCACCCATTGTTCTCAGGTCCGTCCTCAGGAGCCAAGAACAATAGTTCTATTACATCCTCTTTCACATAGCAACCTTTCAAATTCTTGAGGTCAGTTACCCTGTCCCCCTAAATCTTCTCTTTTCTAAGCTAAACATTCCAAGTTCCTTCAACAGATTTTCATATGGCATGATCTCAAGGTCCTTCAACAGCATTGTTGCTCTCTCTAGCTACTCTATAGTTTTTCAGCGACTTTCCTAAAACATAGTATCCTGAACTGAACCCAATACTACAGATGTGGTCTAATCATTACAGAGTATAGCAGGATTCTCCCCAATCTAGTTCTGTACCCCGTCCCTCTCATAGCAAGCTACAGATCTCATTCTCTTTTTTGATTACCATATCAATCATACTGTCAACTCATTAAGTTTGCAGTCCACTAAAATCCCAGAATCTTTTTCAGACAAATGACTATGACTCTCAAGTCATGTACTTCTGTTTCTTAAAAAAAAAAATTAAAGCATTAAGACTTTGCACTTATTTATATTAAATTTAGTCTTATTAAATTTGACCCAATATTCTGTCAGAAATCTTTTTGAAGAGGCAGCATGGCGTAATGGAAAGAGGAGGACCAGTATTTAAAAAAAAATCACTCCGGACATTTAATAGTTATATGACTTTGCACAAATCTGAACCTCATTTTCCTGATCTGTAAAATGGTGATAATTACAGTATCTCCCATGCAAGACTTTTCTGATGATCCTCTTATGGAAAGTCCTCGGTGTAAATTATAAAGCACTATATAAATATAATCAGTAGGTGTTGCTATGGAGCAAGGTTTAATTGGGCACTTTTTTTTTATTCTCTCTTCCTAATAAGAAAGCGATAAGAGGAATTCTTACCAAACCACCCTTTCTCATCCCACTGGTTAGCTCCAGGGCAAAGTCTCACCTTAGTCCACACCATTATTCCAGCCCCCCTTTACTCAGAAATGGGAAATTTGCTTGAGGTAGTTCACAGTTGATGCATCCACACCAGCATATTGTTACAGCAAAGATTTTGATTTTAAATCTAAAGGCACATGGTTCCCAGATGACATGGTCATCTCTCCTCTCTCTATTTTAGGAAAATATAAAGATTATTATTAATAAAATCATAACCATAATATCTTCTCACATATACAACTCATGGAATCCCTGCAGGGGGAAACCTTGCTCACCAGAATAAAAGTCTAATCATTACTCTGACCTATTTTTAATTCTATTTGCCCCAATTATTCAATGGCATCCTCAGTTTTGCCCTCCCGGACACAGAATCAACATACAGACACAACACCAAAAAGTTATGGTCAAGTAGTTTGTATGTCATGGAAAAATGTTTTCAAGGATGCTAATAAAAATTTATAAAAAGACAAAGAACAGAAAAACTGAGGAGTGAACACCAGAGATGAAGGGGGAAGCTGAAACACTGCACGGGTTCCCGCAATCTCCTGGAGAGAAATAATTTATTCACATTGCTCTCAGAGTTGTCTCTTTAAGATCAGAAGCTAAGTCACAGAAACCATGATTGCTGTGATAAGAGTTCAGTCTCTTTACAATCAATCAACATTGCTGTTTATCCCACTTCCCCTGGGCACCAATCGCTTGCTCTAGGGGATGCCACCACAACCACTGCTGCTGCACATCTGCGCATCAAATGAACATGTTACCTAGGTCTTTATCCAAGTTACTAATCCAAAAAGACAGGGAGACAGCCTCCCCAGTTGAAACTGAATCACTGATGACATTCCTTTGTTACAGCCATTCAACCAGCTAATTGCACCCTATCTGGCCAACATTCACAAGACTACTCTGAAAGACTCTGCCTCTCATCTCAGTAACAGAACTAAAAAGGAGGTACACTGCTAAACTACCAAGAAATCCTTCCTAATTTTATAACTGTACAGCTGTCTACAACTGCTGAATCAGCCTTTATCAAAGAATCTCTCAAAGTCAGAAGGGACCTTAGACTAACCTTCCTACGAATTCCCTCTGTATCAGTTGTATCAAACTCAATTAGAAACAGATCCCTGTGAGCTGCAGATTGACTTAGAAAAGCACAAACATTATGTTTTATTGTATTTTTTATTTTTGTTAAACATTTCCCAATTAATTTTAATTTAGATTGCATGTGGGAGTTTTTCAGGTTGCATGACTTCTTGGCCATGAGTTTGACACCTCCACTATGTATCATTTCCACAAAATAGTCCATAGATCTTTGCTTGAAGACTTCTAGTGAAGGAAAACCCACTAACTTCCCAAGGCAATTTGTTCCACTTTGAGACAACTCTAATTATCAGGAAGTTTTTCCTTATACTGACCCTATATAGTGTACAGAACAGGAAATAAAAATGCGACCTTCTCTCTTTCTGTCTTAGGTGGTAGGGAATTTCATAGGACAAACAACAATGTATGGGCTGTCAGAGATTGCCAATTTCATGACTTTATCTTTCACCTCCAAACCCATCCCTCTTTTCAAACGTCTTCAGTTACACAGATTCACAGTGTCATCTTAGGCTCTTCACTATCCTTCACCCCACAGGGCTAATCAGTCGCTAATCTTGTTTCTACCTCCACATCTCTCCCATCTGTTCCCTTCTCTCTACACATAATTACCACTCTATTTACTGGTGGTGGGGTATTTACATGTATGTGTGTGTGTGTGTATGTGTATATGTGTGTGTGTGTATGTATATATATATGGAGAGAGAGAATATGGAGTGTATATATAGTGTATGTATGTGTACATTCACACCATTCCTATCATAATATGTGTGTATATATGTAAAAATATACACACACACACATACATACACACATACTGGGAATATACACAATTTTTTTACTGTGATGGGGTATAATTTTAAAATGGACTGCTTTGTACTTTTAATGTTTTCTCCACCTTGCTCTCAAATTAGATTCTAAGCTCCTTGAATAGTCTATCTTCTATTTTTTCTTTTTGTATCTTCCACTGCCTACCATAGTACTTTGCACACTACGAGCATCCAAAAATACTTGCTGGTTGAAATCATGAAATGATAATGTAATGGAACTGAATTAATCTAATAACCAAGAATCTGGGATTAATAGGACTTTTCATGTAGACTTAAATGTCAAGAATATTCCAGGCTAGAAAATATAGCAATAAATTTTAGGTAGTATTTTTCAAATATTTGTGTTCTTTTTTTTGGTGCCTCCTAAACAAAATTAGTTCAGCATTCCAGCTCATTTGATGAGTTTTGAAAATAAGTTATTTCCTATTTTGATTATTTCCAATTCATAAAAATTCTTCAGGTATATTTTGTGTATTATTCGGCTTCAAAATGTCTATACCTCTTGATTACTCAAAGGAACATAGATCAATGTTTCTCAAACTTGAAACTCTAACTCCAGAAATGGTCACAGAAATCAAAACAGTAGAACTTCAGGCTATCAAAGCTATCAGTGTTTTAGTGGGATTATTTAGTCTTATACATCATTTACTCTTAATCTGTTACCCATATTCTTACACCCCATTTATTCTCACCCATATTAAAAAAAAACAAACCAAAAGCATGCTTTTAGAGTGGTGGAATTCAACAATTACAAAATCACTATAAGAAATTGTTGTTTGGTTACACAAAAACAATTTTAGCTTTTGGCTTCAAACTCCTCTCCCACTAAATCTTTTTTTTTTTTAACCAAGCCTATTAACTGGGCAAAATT